TGTGTGTGTGTGTGTGTGTGTGTGTGTGTGTGTGTGTGTGTGTGTGTATGTGTATGTGGGTAAAACCATTCTTTTTAACATAAAAAGAAAATTAAAATCCAATTTTGCAACACCATGAATACTGAAAAGTCACAGCACACATCGATCGTCTGTAGCTAAAAATTTGCGAGAAATTCATTTATTAATGTCTTCAGCATAATTACACTCAGCTACAGTTTAACAAGAAAATAATACATTTATCTTATATGGTCTGGTGCGAGAAGAGACATAAAATGAATATGAAAAATGTTAGAAATGCTAAAAGTTTCTTAAAATATTTATTTTATGTTTGTAAATTATCTTCGAACGAAACAATAATATTTTTTATTTTTTTTTCTCTGATTTATGATATATATTATTACTGTTCAGGTTAACCGAGTTATAACAATGATTGAATGGCTGTATCCGAATTGGGTCCCGAATTCAAAATTACTACACTAGTTGGGTCCCAGATTTTTATATAGATTATATATAGGTATATAGGTTATGTATATATTCTTGTGGCCTTGGTATCTTAGTAAAATACAGAAGAAATGTTGAAAGCGAGAGATATGTGTTTATTAAAAAAATATTAAGAAGTAAATCAATGATTGATCACTAGCGGGTTATTTCGTATAGAATCACCAAATCCGAATAAAGAGCCCAACGGGCTCAAAGCCTAACTCTTTGTGTAAGGTTATAAGTAACATGGTACTATCAAAAACGAAGACCTAGACACGTATACAAATTATAATTATATTACAAAATCTACAATGTTAGCCTGTTCATGTTTTCTATGGTTAAAATTAAAATATGGGTATGAATACATAATACATATTTTTTATTGTTTTAAATGTGAAAACGAATTCATCGATTCTATCCCCCCCATGGCAAAAATAGTAATACATTAATAGTAATTATAGTAATATGTTTTTACAGAGGCCCTCGCATTTGGGTTAAAATTATTATTCAATGATTGAGCTATTCATTAAATAAATAGATTTGTAGGTCTCTACTCTCGTATTGCTTCCCACACTAACCTACAACTATCGATTGTAGTTTTAACATTTTGCAGATTCTTTGTTTAAATAATAATGGTGTTTGGTAATAAATTAGGATTTTATTTATTAATATTTTTTTAGAAAATACCTCATGTACTTGTACGTACAGTATATTTGAAACTTGATATTATGGCTCAATAATATTATAGATTTTTACAATTATATGTTTGATTACATTTTAGTGGAGCAACATTTAAAACACATAATTATGATTTGTAATGAGAACAAAAAATATTAAAAACTGTAAAAGTAAAATTGGTTTTTGACTTAAATGATGTAAAAATTATTCTTTTAAAATTACATAAAATTATAGACATAATAAGTGTTTAACGTAAAAATGTGTAGTGATACAATAATGTTTCAAATTAAAAATAAAAACCTTTTATTATCTAAGTTTTGTAAAGTTCTAGAATGACGTGTAACTGTAAGCCAATAAAAAAATGATTAGAATAATCCTGGGAGAATTATTATGTTACGAAAATATAATACCCGTGCTCGTACGGAGTGCATAACACGCTATCAATATTTTCGCTGTGTTGAAATTATCGAATCTATTATTAACTTTTGCAAAATACATATAGTTATATACATATAGTATTGAAGAATTTGTATACTTCGATAAAACGAGTTAGCTCCAATGTGAACACTTTTTTTTACATATTTAAAAACGCGTGAATACGACGCGATTGTGGACATGACAAGTTAACTTTTTCAATTCGAAATGATTACTAAATACATTATTAGAGTACAGATTTTGAAGGCAGTTGCTTTTTTATACTATTGCTCTAAAACGAAGATATCAGGTATAAATTCGATTTATACTACTTAAAATAAAATGTCCGATATTTTATTTTGCTTTTTTAGCGTTTTTTGTATATAAATGTTTTTTTTTAGGTGTTTTGGATATTTTTTTGCTTTTATGTTATATTTTTTCAAAATTTGTTCTAAACAAAAATATTTGAAATGTTAATATTTATTTTTATATTATATGTGTTCCAAATCTTGTTCAGTAATTATTTTAACAACCTTTACTCGTGTGTTCAGTTTGTAATATACCGTATACAGTGGCGAATCCACGAGGTGTTTTGGGGGTTAAATTAAACCCCCCCAAAATCAGGAAAAAATATATACCAAAAATCTATGATTTTATGAATTAAGAAAATTTTTTTTCTTTTTTTTAAATATGAGGGAAAGTATGTAATTTGTATTTTTTTCATACATGAAAGTATTAGTCTTAGATTTAAATTAATGTATTATATTACTTACGATTAGCTTAATTCATTATAAATCATTAACTGTAATGTTATAAAAAATATCCCAAGGGAAAACATTTTTCAAACTTCCCCCCCCCCCCTCAAAGGAAATCCTAGATCCGCCACTGAACGGATGATATATAATAAATTAATTTATCTTGAAACGACAATAAACACAAAAATATGATCTTACTCTAGAAATTATCTACTCAGAATTACAGTTTAGCTTTCGTTGTAATATCATATGCCATAGAAATTTACAAAATACCGAAAATTATTTATTTATTTATTTTTTTTAAAACCCATTTTTAATGTTTTTTTGAGCATATTTGGAAGATTTATACAACTTTATTGCTTTTTTTTTATGTGCTTTACTTTAGTTGTTTATTGCTTTAAAATCTGTACTCTATTCATTATGCAACGTATTTATCAATCATAATAATTGTGGTCGTTTTCCGTTGACAAAAACATTAGTCAGTTCCTAATGATGTTCGTGGACTTTCAGAAGTAAACAAAAAATATTTTAATTCATTTTTTTATTCCATAAACGACATTTTTACTAGTTTGAAATATTCTTGGCTAAAAGGAATTCTAATGTATTTATAGTAAAACAAATTTTTTTTTTGCACACCAATTTCTTCAACCGTCAAAAAAACAATATCACCTGGCTGCCTGCTAACCATTAACTGTTCGAATAATTTATGGTTAACTTTAATAATATGAACATTTATTTTTCAAATAATAATTTTATAGATTTTCCATGAAAATAAGAATACTAGATTGACTTTTAAA